GTTTTTCCTACTGCAAAGCAAGGGATATTTTTCATATTCTGACAAGCTCTTTGATCTCTTTTTTCAGAGTATTGTAATTTTCAATGTAGAGGTCATTTACTTCCTTCATTAGACTGATTCCTAGTATTTCATTTTTGGATGTTATTATAAAATGTATTGTTTCCCAATTCCTCTCTCAGTGAGTTTGTTATTTGTGTACAGAAAGGCTATTGATTTTTGAGTATTGATCTTGCATCTAGCTATGCTACTGAATTGGGTTATTTAGCCTAGAAGTGTTTTGGTGGAGTTTTTTTGGTCTTCTATATAGAGTATCATGTCATCTGCAAATAGTGACAGTTTAACTTCTTCCTTTCCAATCCTTATTTCTTTTATTTCTTTCTCTTGTCTAATTGCCATGGTTAATGTTACCAGAACTATATTGAACAGGAGTGGTGATAGTGGACATCTTTATCTTATCCTGGAGCATGTCCAAACCCTAACAACTCACCAAGCACTGTAGTCCTCTGTGACCACTGCTCCGCTCCACTGGTGGGTTTCTCCATGGAGATCTCTGGGGCTGCCAGTAGTCATAGTTGATCTGCAGGTTCAAGCAAGCCTTCTCCTACAGTGAGTGCAGGCTTAGGTAGGAGGTACTGCCTGTTGCCTCCTTCTTCTTTTTTTGGGACTCTCTCTTTGCTCTTCTTGTGGGCTTCAATTCTTACTTCAGATCCTTCTTAGGTCCCAGGGACCCACTCCCCTCCTTCTTTGCTTCCTCATGTTGCTTTATTCCAATTCCTAAACACCAAACCTCAGAGAGGCCCTCTCTATGCTGCTCACCACTTCACCATCTTCCCAGCAGGCTCTAGGTATTATTTTGATGATTTCCTGTATTCTATTTGCCAGAATCTTGTTGAAGATTTTTGTATCTGTATTCATTAAAGGTTTGGTTTATAGTTCTCTTTTTTGGTTGGATCCCTGCCTGGTTTTTCAATCAGGAAAATACTAGCTTCCAGGAATTACTTTGGGAGTACTCATTCCCTTTCAATTTCAATAAAGAGCTTGAGGAGTATTAGTGTTAGATCTTCCCTGAAATTTTTGTAGAATTCAACAATGAGTCCATCTGGAGCTGGGCTTTTCTTAGTTGTTAGATTTTTTTAAATTAATGTTTCAATTTCTTTACCCATTATTGGATTATTCAGGATTTTTAAATTCTCTTGTTTCAGCTCTGGTAATTCATATGTTTCTAAGTCTACCAATTTCTCTACCTTATTGGTGTACAGGTTTGTGAAATAGTTGTTAATAATCTGTTTGGTTTCAGCAGTACCATAGTGATTTCACCTTTTTCCCCCTCTAATTGCATTGCTTTGGGTCTTCTCTCTTTTTTTGTGGTTAGATCTAAGGGTGTGTCTATTTTTTCTTTTCAGAAACTAACTCTTCAATACTTTAATATTTTGTATTTTTGTCTCAATTTTATTGATTTCTGCTCTAATCTTTATAATTTCCTTCCTTGTACTGACTTTGGACTATAACTGTCCTTGTTTTTCTAGGACCCTGAGGTGTAACCTTAGGCTATTTATTTGGATTCACTCAGTTTTTATGATGTAGGCCTTCAGAGTTATAAGCCTCTCTCTTAGGACTTCTTTCATCATGTCCCATAAATTCTTATATGTTTATTGGCATTATTGTTGGTTCTAGAAACTGTCTTGTTTCTTCCTTAATTTATTCTGTAACCCATTGTTTAAGAGTGTATTGATCAGTTTCCGTGCATGTGCATAATTTCTGTCTTTTCTGTTGTTGTTAATTTCCAGTTTCTTTGTGCTATGACGTGATAATGTGCATGGTATAATTTCAGTTCTTCTACATTTGCTTATTTGATTTATGGATTAGTATGTGATCTTTTCAGGATAAAGTTCCATGTGCTGATGAGAAGAATGTATATGTTGCTATTGGTTGGAACACCAGATATCCATTTTAAATCCATTTTAAAAGGATCTGTTCAACTCTAATATTTATTTGCTATTTTTTGTCTATTTGCGAAAGTGGGGTATGGTGGTCTATCATCATTATATTATGGCTGTGTTTATCTGATTTTTAAATGCCCATTAGTATTAGTTTTATAAAGATGTGTGCACCATTGTTCAGTGTGTGTATGTTAATAGTTTTTATCTCTTCTGATAGGATTGTTTTCTAAACCAAAGTTGTTACTATTTTTCTTTTACCTCTTTTGATCAGCTTTGGCTTGAAGTTCACTTGTCTGAATATAGGATAGCTGCACTTGCTTTTTTTCCAGGTTCCTTTTGCATGGAATATTATTTTTCATTCTTTGATTTTTAGTCTATGCCTTTCTTTGTGAGTTAAATATCTTTCAGGTACACAGCACACTGTTGAATTTTGTTTCTTGATCTATTCTACCAATATGTGTTCTTTACTGGGGAAATGAGCTAATTCACATTGAAAGTTATTACTGATAAGTATTGACTTATTCCTGTCATTGTCTTATTTTCCTTTTGCTGATTGTCCATCTTTCTCTTCCACTTAACTGCTCATCCTACCCAGTATACTCATTGTATTAGACCTTTTATCATTGTTAGTTTCATTGTCTCTTTCTAGGATATCCTTGAGAGCTTTTTAGAGTGTTGGTTTGGTAGTCCTGAATTTTCCTAGTTACTCTTTATCATGAAAATATCTTACTTCTCCATAAAATTGAAAGAGTTTTGCAACTTATATCAGCCTGGGTCAGGGATTGTTTTAGGGGAAAAGAAAGTAGTTGAGAAGAGGAAAGGAATTATGAAGGACAAAGTGAGTAATGTGTGGTGGAGAAGTTTAAACTATATTATATCCATTTATGAATATGGCAAGACAAACCCCACCTTTCTGTTTAACTCATATCTATTAATGAAAAGGATACTTAGATGTGCACTATATTAACACTATTGAGATATTTTTTGTACTTGCTTACTTCAAGTGACAGAAATATAATTTTAGAAATACTTTTTTGTTATTATGGAGTCTTTCAAATACAAGGATGAAATGTGTTTCATTGAATGGTTTGTTATCTTGATTTATTAATTTTAAATATGATATTGTGAGCAGATTCTCATTTTAATTCTATAGCACAGTTTTGGGTGTGTCTGTGGGGTGTTTTAGGGAGTTTTGAAGTGTTTGCCATGTATTGAGGGATACACCAAACCTGTGTGTGGTGGCCCCACCTAAGAGGTGTGTAGCCTGAGTGGAATAAAGCAAGAGAAGGAGAAAGTGTGCGTGTTTTGAAGAGTTTCATTCTGCTTGAGTGAGTGTATCTTTTGCTTTTGTTGCTCATGGACATCAAGCTATTTTCCTTATCATTTCAAAGCAGACTTACAGCAGCAATTCTCTGGGGACATTTCAGGCCTTCAGTCTTGGATTGGTGATGTATCTTTGATTTTTGTTCTGCAGTTTCCAACTTCTTGTACTGAGCAGTTACTGAGTCTCTTGGTTCTCCAATATTCAGATGGCCATCATGTATGCTCTCATCTCTAAAACCTTAAACCTTCCTAATGAATATCTTATTTTTTTTCTTCTATGGATTCTGGTCCTTTAGAGAAACCTAACCAATACATTTAGGAATAGGGTATAATCTATGGACCAGATATAAAGTACTTATCAGAATTTGCCAGCATTTTGATCTTGGAGTTCCCAAGCTCCTGAACTGTGAGATATAAATTTCTATCATTTACAGATTAGCTACTCTAAGATATTTTATTATAGCAGTAAGAGTAAACTAACACAGAAATTGGTACCAAGAAGTAGACTGTTGGAACAAACACCTAAAAATGTGAAAATCACTTATAACTGGGTACTGCTTAAAATAAGAGTTTTGAGAAACACTGATGTGAATGGAGAATTAAGTGTAATTCTAATGATGGCTCAGAGAAGAGGAAAAATTGGAGACAGCTTTAATCTTTTCTGAAATTACATAAATGTTCATGAACAGAATGTTGATAGAACCATAGATCAATGGATAGTGATGAACAGTCTCATAGCATCTCAGGTGGAAATCAGGGACATGTTATTTGAAACTATAAGAAAGGAGATATTTCTCATGAAGTGCCTAAGAATTTGCCAAAATTATGTTCATATTTTATTGTTTTAAGGAAGATAGAACTTATGACAGATGAAATAGTATATTTTGTGGAAGAAATGTCTAGAAATGTGCCAACAACAAAGCATGATTTCTCTTGAATACCTATCATAAATTGTAAGATGAGAGGAATGAATTAAGGTAGAAATTTATGATTTACAAAGCAGAATTTAAATATCTAGAACATTCTAAGCCCAGGGAGCTAGTCATTTTGTGCTTACCATTCTGTTGCCAGTGTGGCTGGGTCAAAGATCTGAGTCTAGGCACCAGCTATCTGGATTACTTCGTAGTCTAACATCAGGAGTATAAGAAAAGCACATAGAGATGGAAAATTAATTTATTAAAAATTTGACCCAATTATGAAGGCAGCAAATTCAACCCTTTTGAGCACATAGAAGTCTTAATTTAAAGAGGTAGAAAAAAGACAGAAAATATCATATGTAAATTTAGCCAATCTTTGACCCATGGAATTGTGAATTCTCCTTGGAGCCAGGACTGGGTTTGGGGTGAGGTGGCAGTTTCTGCTCACAGTGAAGAAACCTAAAATAGCTTATCTCTAACAAAAAGCCAATTTTTAAAGATCACTTTTTACTTCTCAGCTGAACTTGAAATCCTGTATTTGTAGAGGGCAAATATGTGCCAGCCAATTGAAGTCGAACATTTATTTCTAAAGAAAATTAAATAAATAAAATATGTGACTGAATGTAAAGCTATCTGTAAAAGGTATGTTTTTTAAAGAACATAAAATGTAGAAAGAGGAAAATGGAAAGGAGTTGATTTATTGAAATTTAAAATTTAAAAGAAAACTAGAGCAAGGAGTAATTGATTAAGCTGGTAACATTAGTGCTGTTATGCAATACAAAACACTTTATAAATTGGCTTTGAGGGCAACTGAATAGCTTGTTATTCTCCTTTCCTGTTGCAAAAGAAGACTCCAGAGGAGAGTCAGGTATTTTGACTTATAATCAGAGTTCTTTTTTAGGGGATGATAGGAAATGTGTTATAATCTCATCTCTTGAATTAGAAAAAAAATCAGGTTTTGTGAATGTTTGAAATTTACATGTTTAGAAGGAAAAACAATCTTTCTACTAGATTCACAACCTCAGAAATTTCCAAAGGGTGCTAAGAAATGGGTGCATTTTTAATTAAAATTTTCTTAGAAAGGATATCAATAGGAGTTTGCTATTTTGATAAGAACACCAAGCCGGAATTTATGTTTTTTAGGAAAATGGAAGGCTATCACAAATCAACTAACTTCTCTTTATTCTATCTTCCTCTCCCCCATCAATATTTCTATTACTTTTACTATTTTCTTGAATATTATTCAAGAAACACCTTTAGTTTAAGAAGCTTGTGTTTGTATTTATATTCTATCTGAAGGATAATTTTCTTTAACAAAATACTAAGACATGTTAGAATTGCATTCTTGTTATTTTTGTTGTTGTTTCTTGTTGTTTTTTTCTTTTGGTTTTTTTTCTTTTTTCTTTTTGAGACAAAGTCTTGTTATATAGCCCAGGTTGGCCTCAAACTCAAAGCAATTCTCTTGCCTCAGCCTCCTGAGTACTGGGATTGCAGACATATACCACCATGCTTGGCTAGAACTACATTCTGTGAAACTTTTCTTGAAGTCTTGACTCATGTTGTACTTATTTATATAACTTGGGAATGCTTTCTGGTAGGGAAATGCAAACAACTGTCATTATGGTAAAAAAGATATATCAGAAAAGCAAGTCAAAGTTGAACCAAAGTTAATGACTTTCCAATTAGTTCTGTCTGCACTGGCACAGTAGTTGACACATGTTGAATTGAATTGAAGCTTCATAGATCTTGCGTGGAAAGAATACACTGTAAGGTTATTTAGAACCAGGCATGCACCTAATCTTCCAGTGAGTATCATACACAGACTCTCAACAAGTTTTTGTTTAAATACTATTCAATTTGACCGAGAGATGGATGAATCAATTGCATCCCCAAGTCTGCCATATTGTTGTGGATGACTTTAAATATTTAATTTCCATTTTGTAACTTATTTCTTTAGCCTTTATTTTTTTGCAATAAGTTTATTGGTACATTTTAGATATACAATACAGTTACATTTATCATTGGGATCTTGTACCCTTACATGATGTATCTTGCTTCTTATTTTTTCCACATTCCCCTGCCCTCCCTTCACCCCTCCACCCTTCCCTATTTACAAAGGTTTGTTTCCATATTTTCCTTTTCTTACATTTTTTCTTCTCCCTTCTTTCCTTTTGCCTATCCCTCCCACTTCCCCTACTCCTTTAGACCTTTTCTTCCTATTTCACATTATTAATTATACATTTTGATCCTTATTTATACTTTTAGTTTTTCACATCAGAGAAACTATTTGGTATTTACACATGTGTGTACTATTTATTTCACTTAAGAGTATGGCCTTGATGTGCATCCATTTAGCTACAAATGTCTCTAGTTTCTCATTCTTTATGGCTGAGTAGTACTCCATTTTATATTAAAAAACCCAAATCTTCTTTATCCAGTCTCCAGTTGATGGGCCATTGGGCTGTTTCCAAGTTTTAGCTATTACAAACTGTGCCACTATAAACATGGGTGTACATATATCACTGTGGTAGGATTCTTTTAATTATTTTGGGAAGATACCCAGCAGAGGGATAACTGGGTCAAATGGGACCGCTAAGCCTAGTTTTTTGAGGTACCTCCATATTGATTTCCACAGTGGTTGCACCAATCTGCTCTCCCACCAACAATAAAGAATAGTTCCTTTCTCCCCACAACACCACCAGCATTTAGTACTGGTTGATTTCTTGATAGCAGCCATTCTTTCTGGGGTGAGGTGAATGCAATCTCAGTGTTGTTTTCATCTGCTTCTCTTGAATAACGAGTGATGCTGAACATTTTTTCGTATGTTTATTTGCTACTTTTACTTCTTTGTCTGAGAAATGTCTGTTCATTTCAGATGCCCATTTTTGAATTGGGTCGTTATATTTGGGAGGTCTGATTTTTTAAAGTTCTTTAGATATTCTAGATAGTAGTTCTTTGTCTGAGGAACAGCTGATAAAATTTTTTCCACATTGTAGGTTGTCTCTTAGCTCTGTTGGTGGTTTCTCTTGCAGTGCAGAAGCTTCTTAGAAGATGACGTTCCAGTTGTTGATTCTTTGTGCTACTGAGGTTTTGTTCATAAAATATTTTCCTATGCCAATGTCTTCAAGAGTTCTAACTTCCAGAAAATTTAGTGTTTCTGTTTTAATATCTAGATCTTTAATCCACTTCAATTTTAATTTAGTGCATGGTGAAAGCTAGGGGTCTAGTTTTAATCTTTGGGAGGTTGAAATCCAGTTTTTCCAACACCATTTATTAAAGAGGCTATCTTTTCTCCAGTAAGGATGGTTGGCTCCTTTGTCAAAGATGAGGTAGCTGAGTATGTCTGGAGTTATTTCTGTATCTTCTAATCTATTCCACTGATCCTCAGGTCTGTTTCTTTGGCAGTACTATGTTTTGTTTTGTTTTTTTTTTTTTTTATCACAGTGGCTTTCTAGTATAGTTTCAAGATGGGGATTTTGATACCCCCTGTCATGTCTCTGTTGCCTAAAATTGCTTTTGCTATTCTAGGTCTCTTCTGGTTCCAAATGAATTTTTGCATTGTTTCCTTTAGTTCTGTGAAATATACTGTTGGAATTCATTCGTGGTTTCTTGAATGTTGTAACAAATGAAATTTAGTACATTCAACTTATGAAATTCTCAGGAAAGAGAAGGAATGTTTTATTCCCTGAATTTTTCTTCTCAGCTCTTCTCTCTGTACAGGCTCATTCTTGTCAGCATATATTCATGCCTGGATCTGTTTCACCCCTCTCTCAATGTATTTAGAGAGGAGCAGCCCTCAACAAATCATCTATTGCATACTCCCCACTTCTCTACTCATGTTTCCTGGAAATCAAAATAGAATACTTGCTCTTAAGGTAAGATCAAGGTCAGCTTCTGAAAGAACCCAAAATAGATACAATGCAAGCTCTTCCCTGACCCTTCAGCCATCTCTCTTTCCTGTTCTCATTCTTAAACAATGAGTGGTCATGGACATTCTCATTCTTGAGCCCTTCTCTTATCAGATTCTGCCTTCATCATGCTGCCCTTTCTTTCTAAAAATTTACAGGGATTAACATGTAGTATCCAATGTAAGTTTCAGAACTGAACATTCTTGAATCACAATTGCTGATAAAGACTCCCCAGCCTCCTTCATTCCACTAATATTTACTGTAAGATTTGTTCTTACATAATTATGGGAATTGGTTTAGTGATTTCTAAATGATTGTTATCTTTGAATTTGAATTAAGAGTCTTGGAGTTTGAAATCAACGTCATTTTTTCAATATCATTTAGTTAAAAATATTTGGTATTTCCTTTGTGATTCTTTGACCCACAGATTTTTTTTTTATGTCAGTCATTGTAAGTGCTTTATAGCCACTGTACCTAGTACATAGATTGTTAGGTCGGTTTCTATATTTAGCTTGCTACATTCTAAATTCTGACAATCTGTGAGGTGTAGTGGCACAAGCCTGTAATGCTAGCATTCAAGAAGCTGAGGCAGGAAGATTACTGCAAGTTTGAGGTCAGCCTGGGTTGTACAGTGATGTCAAGGCAAACCTGAACTGCATAGCAAGACCCTGTCTCAACAAACCAATAACAAAAATTCCTACAATCTCCTATACACTGAGCAGAAATTGGAACTGTGGTTTCTTTAGAAAGAATGTACAGTCTACAGTTTTAGGGTATACTGTTTTAGAAATGAAGGTTAAGTAAAGTTTGTTAAAATTCTCTATATGTTACTGATTACTTAAAAACTATACTTGAAATACTGAGAAAGGGATGTTAAAATCCACAACTATGAATGTGAACTATTTTTGTATTTTTAATTTTGGTATATGTATTTTGAAACTCTTCTTTCTATATCTAGGATTACTATTTTTATAAACTTTCTTTATCATTATTAAATGTCTCTGCTTATCTACACCAATGCTCTTTATCCTGACAGCAAGTTCATACATAGTAATATGTAGGTAATTATGTAAAGATACATGATATAAGTTGATATATATGTAACAAATGAGCTCTTTTTTATTTATGTTTTTATTAGTACATGTTTGTCATACATAATGTTTATATTCCTTGTGGGGAATTGGCATATAGACATAATACGTGGACATAATACATCTTAATTTCTGTTTTTAATCCCTTTTCTCTTCCTTCCCCCTCCTATGCTCAGTGTTTGTGTTGCATATTTTTCTCACATTTTACTTTTTTTCCCCACTGGTGCTGGGCATTGAACTCAGAGCTTTCTCAGTGAGCTATCCCCAGAGCTATTTATTTATTTATTTGGGCTATTATTTTTATTTATTTTTTATTAGGATATGTTTGCATACATAATGATCTCATTCATCATGGAGAATTTGTTCCTGTACATAATATATCTTAATTACTTTTTCCCATTCCCTTCCCCTCCCTTTAACTCGTCTTCCCTTCCTGTGTTAGTTACTTTTCTCTCATTACTAAGATAAAAAAATCTGGTACCAGAAGTTAAAGGGAAAGGGTTTATTTAGCTCACAGTTTGTATAGGTTTCAGTCCACAATCAGCTGGCTCCAAAAAAGGAATGCCAAACAGGCTATGCAGAAGAGAAACAATATGGCACACACAAGGTAGCAAAGGTAATAAAGGCATTAAACAGCATCTTTCTGCCCCTTTTATCTTATTCAGATTACCAGTATTAGGGTGGTGCTAAATCAATCACTCACATGTAGTGGCTTAATAATCACACACCCTTGACCCCAGCATCACACATTCCAGGTTCAACTACCTCTGAAAAAGAAAGTCCCATCTCATCTCATGAGACATTGAGGGGACATAACACTTCCCCATTTACAAAAGCTTTATTTCAATTTTTTCCTTCCATCTTCCTTT